CGGGGGCTTGAAGGCCGCGGCGGCCCGACGTCCCCCCGGGTCAGACCCCCGTGTCTGGAAAGTAACAGGTAGCTGGCGCCTGCCCCCCCACCCTGGTGAAATAAACCCCGTGCTATTTTAACATACGGCGTTGGCAGAAGAATAAATTGATGATGAGTAGCTAGGTAAATCCCCACCGATCTCCTTTTTCGCAGGGGATTAAAGAGTCGACTGAATACTGTGAGTTAACTTTTAGCAATTGGTTTCACTCACTTTGCTCCAAAAGTGGGTGAAAAATTCTGATTACTGCAGCTCTACAGGTCATGTGTATGTGGAGCAACGCCTACTCACAAACGTTAAGTTTCCTTGAACAAGACACATGTCGGAGCATGGTAATTATTACGGAAAATAGGTTTTGAAGCAGGAAGCTTAGAAAAAAGGATTACATTAATGTAGGTTGTTTTCAGTCAGCCTACGTTAATTAAATGTTTAATGTAGATGGCAGTCGATAGAACACCCTTTGTGTTTAGCCTGTATTTTAGAGAGCAAAGAGATATTCGTGTAACTGCCCCAGGTGGGACATCTCTGGTGGCAAGGAGGACCATGAAGGGACCTGTTAGTTGAGACGCAATCACTAACCGCAAACCGGTCCGTGCCCCTGTCCAGCCACAGAGAAGGACAAAGCCAGAGCCCGCGCAGAGGCCACACGTCTCTGCAGAGAGGTCCTCCCTTCGAGAATAAATCCCCTGAGCCCTGGAAGATTAAGTATGACCCGGACAGGCATTACCAAAGAAAGGACATATGTGCGGCAAACTGGCCACCGCGTCCCCAACTTCCCGTTCAGAGAGAAGGATGAGGTGCTGCAGGATCCCTGCCCAGGAGGGGATGGCGTGGCTCTCCTTAACAGGCAGCTCACTGGTGCCTGGCACCGAGCTGGCTGTGCCAACCTACTTGCAGTTAAACTGCAGAAAGCTCTAGTGGGAAGAAGAGCAGTTCTTTTAACTGAAGGCAGGATATAAGGCACAGCATTCTTTTTAAGAAGATTGTTTACAGCTTTACAATGCAAAGTAAACAAGAGGAAAATGAAAATTGGAGAGTTAAGTCCAGACAGCTCAGCTTACCAAAGTTATGAACAGTAATTACTGGAATTACTGAGTTAAAACCCTGTTCTTTGTGCACAACTACCACATTCACAAAGGTTGCGCTGATTTCTGCTCCGAGAGATCAGTTGCAAGGATTATGGAGCTGTTCTGTCACAGAAGATGGCAAATGTATAAAACATGAGCACTCAGCACTCAGAGCGTGCAGTGAAGAGAGTCAGAGCTGCGTATGCACTGCACCTTAGAAAGCGCAGCCCACCAGTCTGAAGAAAATGGTGGGGTCCATTACTCTTGTCTCGATGCGTGCGTGTTTATAGGCAACTCTAATTCACAGTAATGGAAGGTAGGTGCAGAACCCCCGTGGGCCCCGATGGGAATAGCCCCTCAGCTGTAATGGACAAGCATCAGACAAAGTAGAAATAAGACAGATTGCACTGATCTCCTGAACAATGCAATTACTGAGAAAGCAAAGCTCCCGTGTGTTTGAGCAGCGGAGTCAAACAAAGTCCTCAGAGCATCGCAGAAAAAAACCACACCAATAAAACCTCTCAAACAATAAATCACAACCCTGTTGCATGTGCTGTTTCAAAAGATGAGGAGAGCTACTTGCAGATAAAATATCACTGTATTTAGAGATTAGAAGTGGAAAGTGTTGCTATATTGTGAACGACTCCAGACTCCTCTCCTTGTGGGTTGAGGGCTCCCTCTCATGCAGCAGTAGTGACAGTAAGGGGACGATATAAAGGAAAGACCACCCCATGTCTAACCCTTTCTTAGCTACCGGTAAAGTAGATAATACAAAGGTTCAGAGTAAAAGTCTGTCTTTGAATTGTCCTCAGCTTTCATTTGCATATGATCTAGATTCTAATTTTGCACCTAGTCCTGAAGCCTGCACGCTCACTCACGGGAAGCAAAACTGGATGGGAGTCCTGTACACACCAGCGGGCAGCACACACAAATAAGGACAACACGAGGCTCCCATAATCAAGCTATTCCTGAAGTTGCTCCAGTATCAACTGATTCGCACGCCTGCTGAGGGCACAGATCTACGATCTGCTCAGACAGAAAGCCACATGGTAAAGAAGCACCCACGTGTTAAGGAGGTGACTGAGGAACACGCTTTCCAGGGTCATAATTTCTCCTGCTCCGGACACATTTGCACTGCGAGTGCATGAACTCCATATGGGGGAGCATTAGTAGGGAGAGAAGGAAGCCTGTCTCTTGACTGGCATACAAAATTTTACAGGACTCTGCTAACAGGCAGGGATAACGCTGTGTTCTTAGCCCTTGGCAAATCTGTGCCTGTATAGCTCATCACCAGTGTAGCTAGAGCTAGGTTAGAAAATGTGATAAGTAAAAGCAGCTGAGTTAGGTCTATGCTCTGACTTCCACTGTTGCTAGCAGTGGTAATGAGTAATGAGTCTGCAGTTGGCTACAATAGATACTCTCTTCAAGAGTTCATCTCAACAAAGCCACCTGTTAAAAACTGTTTGCTAGCCTCGTTCACAAATATAAAAGATCCAGCGTTACAAAATCAGCGCTCTTGAACATGATCTTATCCACAGCGCATTTTGACAGCACAGTTTTGTGTTTACGTATTTAATTATAGCTGTGAAAACACCGACTCATGTTCATGCAAGAAATCCCGCAGGTGCCTCTTTCCATAAGAAATGTTCCCTTTTCATGCACGGTTGCTCTGCAGTACGCAGGGGCGGCTGACGGAGATCTGTTGCTAATGCAAATGACTCACTGATGGGAATTCTCCAAACTGCCAGAAAATGTGTATGCAATTTCATCCTTATTTTGATCCAGTTGCCTATAGAAGTGGCTTTCTGTTACATTCTGCACCTCTTGAGAGTCAAAAAGATCGTAACACTTTTGCTGTAAGTTCAGTGCACTGGGCAGCCTCACGGGCTAGGGCAGAGCAAGCAGCCGCCAGGCAGAGGCCTGACGTCCCGAGCTGTTAGATCACAGCTTTGCCTCCTACTGTGGACCAAATAACGCTTTCTCTTTAGCCGGTGCAAATCCAAAGAGCCTCATCTGGGAATCGTGACGGTTTATGCCCGCTGCAGAGCTGGTTGTGTCCGGAGGAGAGGGGTTGCTGGCCACTTCTATGTAATCTCGGTATTTTCTGTAGATCTGCATTGATTTCCACTGATGTTGGCAGTAGCCTTCCCAGGAAACTGGCAGGGTTGGATTCGGACCTTGACATCAGTCTTTCCAAACAGAAGCAGGCATTTCTCAAGAGCCAAGGGAAACAGTGGCATTGACTAAAAAACTAACACAACACAAATGCAGAGACAATACTCAGCACATTCGCCCAACAAATATTAGAACTGCTTTTTAAGAAATCCCTGTTACCTCTTCTCTTTCTCTCTCATCCACCTTTGCTCCCACTTTCTGAAGACTACATCCAAGATGTGGTAGTGGAAGCTGTTCTAATCATTTTAGCAGTTTCTGGGTCATGAAAAAAAAAAAAGCAGCTTATTAATGAGAAAAATGAAATGAGATTTCCCTAAGCTGATTGTCGATAAAAAAAAAATTTCCACATTCATTTTTCTGTATAAAAAAGAAAACATCTGTCACCATTTCAATGTGTCTCAGTGTCCTGAGTGCCTGTGTTTCAGCTGAGGCTTGATCAATAAATGCCCATTTTCACACCTTCCTTCCTAATCTTTTTAGTTAAGCTCAGATAGTTACAGATCAAAACAAAACAAAACCAGCTACCTGAGATCTTCGTCAGGACTGTGGGACCTGGTGCTGACATTGTTTTGAAACATTAAAGTATATATAGCAAATTTTAGTTGGGTCATAGCCATGCTCAGCGCACGTCCCAGAAGCGCTGGAACAGAGATCAGTACTTTGTGTTTCTAAAAAGATTTCAGAAAACTGTGCCAAGGTTCAGAGCTAGATTGTGCAACCAAGTCCTAACAATGGCACAGATTGTACAATGCAGCCCTCATAAATTAAGCTTCAAACTGCAAGGTTGTTGTTTCTGTTTTCCACCAGGTTGAAAAATATCCAGCTCTTTCTGAGCAGTATTTAGGGTAGATAAAGACGAGTGTTGTTAGCTTTCCTGACAACATCAAGGTACAAGAAGGGGGATTTTGTACATTGGCAGGTATGACTTTTCAGTGAGTCTTTTGTTTCCATGTAACAAAATTTAATAAATGACAGCTTTTTAAAAATGAAATAACCATTTTTTAGTCCAAAAGATTACTTATACTCATGCATGATCTCAAAAACTCTGAGTAATTGTTGTCGTTACCTTGACCCAGTCCGCAGAGAGAGCTCACAGCTCAGAGGAATCGCTACTGGTGTGAGACTATTTTCAAAGTCCAGGATCAAGAGGAAATTGCCAACCAGTCTCCTGGAGAGAGCCTGAGGACACCGGTCAGCCTCAGGTTACAGCCCTCTGCCGCTCCGAGCCCTGGACCTGAGACTCACGACCACTTTGAGCAGGACTTTGGTAAGGTGGCATTTCCCAAAGTGTCAGAGCACGGTGGTTACTCAGTGCCCTCCCAAGGTACTTCTTATGCAATTGCAAAAAATGAATAGTCCTTCATTGCAGAGAATTCTTGCTCATAGTTCTGACTAGAACTGAAAAAACTTTCAGGGTGAGGGGGAATTTCAAATAGCTGGTTCGCATTCCAGATTTCAAAGGTGAAGAATGAATATATGAAAAAATGTCCCCGCAGCTTTCACATCCAATTTAACAGATACACCCCACTAAAAAACGCAATAGAAACACTTTGCCTTTTCCGCGCAGTGCTGTGCTGTCTCACAGGTGTCAACTCAGCAGAGCGTCACCTCACAGGTTGCTCCTGTGCTGAGTGACGCAGCGACAGCTACAGACGGCCCCCGATGGCAAAAACCCATTCAGACCGGAGCCGTTTTCAGCACCTTGCAGCTTCATCTGAAGGTCTCAAGGAACCTTGCAATTAATTCTTCCTAATTACCACATCAGATAAGTGTGGGATATTATCCTACTTGTACAGCAAGAGACATCAAGGCATGGAACATTTACAGGAGTTAACAAAGGATGCAGGCTGAATGGAGAGATCTGCTCAAGGATCCTGCAGGGCTGGGCAAGGCAAGGGTGGGGTGCAGGGCATCACCCCTTCTGCTCAGAACAAATGTTTGCATAGAAACAAGGGAAAGTTTGTGGCCAAAAGGGTTAAATGGCAAACAGTAGCATGCAGGCCGCTCTGTCTGAAGAGATCTCTGCTTGCTTCCACCAAACAGTAGCAGATGGTGCATTGTTTTAAGAGCTTTTCTGAGACAAAAGAACAAGATCAGATAACCTTTCCTCAAAGAGGGTACTTACAAAAAGCCTTTGCTTTTATTAAGGATTCTTCATTGTTTTCCCCACAAAATTTTAGACATAATATTGGATTTTGAGGTGGTGGAGAAGCCAGCATTGTTTACTATGCTTCTCCCCAGGGACTAGGAGGGCATCTTACACGATTGGACAGTAAGTCCGTGGTCTGAAGTGTTTCCCATAAGCGAAAGACATTGTATTTATTTAATATTAATAACTAAGGGCCCCAATTCTGGAAGCTATCTAGCAAAAAGACCCTGCCATCCACTATTCACCACACGAACAATAGGAACTGCTGCCTGGTGTCTATGCCAGGAGAAACCTTTACCTTCTCTGAGCATCTGCGGGAGCTGACAGCGTTTGAGTGAGCTCAAGCCCAAGGTTTGACTGTAAGCCAGCAGTTCCACTACGGGCCATGTTGCTGCAGATGAAGCACAGAACTGTCACTCTGAAGACAATGTGGTTTTGAAATATGGGTCACAAGTGGATCTGTTCACCACTCTTAGCAGGAAAAGGGCATTCAGACGCAAGGCTGCATTGTCTGCTATAATGCATCACACCAGCAGTTGATTCTGTTCTCTTTCACACAACACAGAAGTCAGCATGCGCATGCAGCATAATGATGTGTAATTATACAACTGCTGCAAAATATAAATATTTACCTTTTAAAGATATATGCATCACCTAACCGCTAATTGCTATGCCAAAGACATGAAAAATTTTCTGTAGTAAACATACTTGGCAAAATAACAAATTCATTTTCAAACATAATAAAACACAGTATAAGAAGCAGATATTCACAAAATATTTGTAACTATTTATTGCCTGGAGTAAGACAGTGAACCTGTTCTGAACAGTTGAATTTTCTTTTTAAACACAGCCAGTATAAAATTCAGAATTGCAAATGCTATAAGCTCGTGCTGCGATGAATACAAATCATCTCCACCGGCATCACTGGGAAGTATTTCACATAGCTCTTACATGCATCTCTAATCAGTTTAGGCACAAAACTTGGTATAACCAAGTGAGCTGATGAGGAAGTGGTTTGCACATTCTGCTTATCTCAGAGACACCGCTACATAAAGTCTTTCCATCATTCCTGCCAGACCACCAGGTCTCTTCCACAGGGAGCTGAGGAGATGAGCTATACTTTCCTTGATACTGCAGCACACCCTCTGAGTACAGCCCACAGTACCCAAGTTTCTGTATCTCTATTAAATAAGGGAACTAGGTGATTTAAAAAAACATTTTGCCTGTGCCCCTTCCTACAGCCTTGCAATTGGGCTATGAGCCAGATTGGACTAAATGAGCCAGAAAGCTCATTTTATCAGGCCAGACTCTTAGTTTTTCCTCTTCTGTATTTAAGAGACAATAAGGTTTAAGCTGAAATTCATTGTTAGAAAAGTATTGTCTAAATGTTGAAGCTTAAGCATAGCTACTGGTGTAAAGTAATTGGCATTAGGAAAGCAAATGGCATGCTCTCCATTATTCTTAAAATACAGAATTTTAACCTGGATTACAAAGAAAATATATTCATACGTAACATGTTTCACATCTTTCCCTTTAACTGCTGATTGACGTATTTTCTCACATCACTAGAGGGAGCTGCCTTCTTGCTTGTAGCAGAGGGAGAAATGATTAAATTAGTGGAATCAGCGAAGAAGTGTAACAGCATGGTTTCAGCTAATTGTCCTCTGATGGATAGTTTTGAGATAAGACAGCTCTTCACATTTTGCTTCAAAATCCTACACTGCCATTTGTATTTTACAAAGCTTCTGCCTGGTGAAGCTCCAGAGAGCTCCATCATCAGCCTCCAAACATCTCTAAAGCAGTCTGCAATGATGGCAGCGTTGAAGCGTAGCATGCTTCGTGACTCTGTGACAGGCAACACGAGAATTGCTCTTGAGAATTGCTCTCACTTCCTTTGATACCAGTTTTCTCCCTCGGAACTAGTTTCTTTCCATACCCTCAGAGACTGTATTTGCACTGCTTGTTAGCTGGCTGATAAATCGTCCTATAGCCTGTGTGGGCACAAGAAGTCAGGACTTTGTCACTCTCCGTGCTACTGCTCCATAGTGTGCTGTTACTTGTAAACTACCACTGCAAAGTGTGTGGACACACACCTGCGTTTCTTGCTCTGTGCAGTCCGGTGTTGCTTTGCCATACAGGTCGGGGCTTTGGTATCCCTATTGCAAGTTTAGTGGGTTGAGGGAATTTAGTATGATTGATGAGCAACAGAAGAAAGATTCCATGGAAGTTCAGGGTTCTGGTTAGGTCCAGATTCAGGCCTAGCTCTCTCTTGCTAGCCTGAAGCAAGAGCTGCTCTGCTGCTTTGTATGTGACATGCCGCATGTGGAAGGGTCGGCAGCAGGGTGAGGTATTGCCATGTGCTGCAACATCTGTCGGGAAGCTGAAATCTGGCCAACTCTCCGCACTAGAGGATTTAGCTATAAACACAAAATATGTGGAGGACAGGAGCAGCACAGGCCACATTAATCCCCTTGTTTAGCAAGCAGCAACTCTTCAATGACAAGTGAGATACCAGATGTATTTATAGAGGAAAGAAGAAACTGATTCAGCAGGCGTGGAAATACAGATTCTCCAAGGTACTTAAGGATGCAGATGAGCCCATTGATTTTCCTGTGTAAACAAGTATAGCCTTCAAGTTTAGTGTCTCTTGCTTAGGGATTGCTCTTGGCTCACAGGTCTTGCTGAAGAAGGGCCAAACAGCCATCCTGTTCGCCTGTGCTGCGTATCTCAGCTGTGATCAGGAGTCAGCAAACCTCTTTTCTGTATCTCTATTTACCCGTCATCACCACAGCTCAGTTCCTGCACGCTAACAAGGTGCTGAAATGCCTGGGTGCTATTTCACCCATCCCTTCCCTTACCTGAAGAGCATCCTAAAATAATAAAGCAGTTGAGCTAGCACAGTAATTTTAGAGAGGGGAACGATTGCCGTGACCTGGGTGTCAAATGGGTCAATTCCTTCTGGATCTGTTGCTCCATTGCACAGCAGCATTTCAGGACTCTTTACACCCCATCTTCATACACTTCCAGGCAATAATGTAGTCAAAGTTGTGCTTACATCTAAAGTTGCAAGTATGTATTTTTGTAATAACTGTTTTGGACTGATTGCTGACATGGGCAGAAAGAGAAAAAGCTCTCCTTGAATAAAGCAGCAGTAAGTGCTTCTGCCTAGCTTCAAGTGATTAGAAAAATGAGACTTTTAGCCCAGCTTTTTTAATTATATGTCACAGAGATTCTACAGGGCTTTACTGAGATTCTGCAGGTGCAGCGGAAAGTGATTTAATAAATAGCATTTTTTTAAAAAGACAGAGTGTATGTACATTGAAGCTATCTGGATATGCAGTAAAATGCCATTCATCATAACGTAAGAGGACATGAAGTTTAGCCAGATGGTATTTTCTGTAATGCAGGATATTGCAACACAAGAAATGCATCTGGAAATAGCCACAATTAGGAAAATTATGTTCAAAAGGAGTGAAAACAGATCAGAACAAACTTTTTGTTCGCTTTGAGATCAATACCATTGGTCAGGCTTTGAGCAGAACAACAATAACATTGTTCAGTTTGAGGCACAAATTGAAAATACTTGCCAGTTTTAAACTATATCCTAACAGGTTACCGTACGTCAGAATGGCCCAGATATCAGTATTAAAAGCTACTCAGACAACTTAGCATCAATAAGTTTAGCTTGTAATTTTTTTTTTATAAAATGACCTTATTTGTTAGTATTGAAGGAGGCATCCTCATCTGGCTTTTGAAAGTGATGAGCTGTCTGTATACACGCTGAAGAACTGTTCACCTGTCTTTTTTCTATTACATTGCTTAAAACCAGTAATAAAACTTCCCTGTAGAAACAACAGCTCTTTCACCCACAGGATTTTCCTAAATATACCATTTCAAAAAATCATCTCTGGTAACTATAAGCATTAAAGAGGCTGAATCAGACCTCAAAATTAGAAAGATTGGGATAAAAACAAAAATCCTTTTAAAAGGATGAACGCTTCATTGGGCATGTGATTTCTAGGTAATTCAGTATGATTTTGCCTTTTCAAACAACCTTCCAGAACCAGGAGCTATGCATTACTGAAATAAGAGATGAGATTTTCATCCAATCTTTTGATTTTGAAAAGTAGGGGGTTAAGAAAAGCCTCCTATAATAATACTGTAAGAGGTAAGTGAAATTTGCAATCAAGCTGTTTATAAAAACACAGCAGCATTCTAATAGAAAATCTGCATCAGCCTTGAAGCATTAACATTTTATTTCACTCACATCCACGTAAACACAAAAAACATCCTGGCATGCAAAGAAGCCCACGTCTCTGCTCCTGCCATATTAAAGATCCTTCAGTATTTAAAGCAAAAACAAACCTTGCATGTCGTGGGCTTCTCCTGAGGCATGGGGTAATTTGGATTCAGACAATCTGGATAGGGATACAGATTTTATCTGAAGTTTCCAAGTCAAACCTATTTCTATTTATGACCCACACTTCAATTCATTTATGACTCTGATTGCTGTGACAGTGGCACAGCACAGAGTAAACACACAACCTGTTTGCATAAGCTTAGCAATTAATCTGAGAAGCTCAAAGCAGCCAAGAACATATCACTGGTAAACATTACATCACCTATACTGTAAAAGACAGACAGGAGAGTTACAATAAGGAAGTAGCAGTGAAATAGGTGCACCTGGAACAAGAGTTGTTTTCCCCACTTAAAAGCAAAAGCTTTTTTTCACGGGTTTCTCTCCCCCTGTGACAAAAGAGAGAAATCAAGCCTGCACCCCTGTACAGGGAGAAGCTGCAAGACGGAAAGATGGAGGGGGCACGCGCAATGCTGCTAGAGTTCTCAAAGAGGTGACCAGGTTGGGAAGCTTTTCTTCTTTTGTAACTAGTGGGTCTGATCCTGTTGGTGCAGCAAAGGAGCGGTGGGAACCAGAGTGGCAATAACCCACGCTCTGGACTTCGGGCTTAGAATGGGAATTGCTCCCCAGTCCTCCTCTTTCCTGCCATAGGCCCTCTTGAGTCCTACCTCTTCCCCTATCCCCAATACTTGCAGGACTTTATGTTAATATTTCTTGACAGGATGTAGGTAGTGACATTTTCCTTCTTCAGATATGGTAGAAGACGTAAATGTATGCAGAGAAGTTATTCCAGGAATAAAGGCAGATGTCAGATTTGGGAGGCTTCCAAAAATAGGCCCAGGGAAGATTCAAAAGGAAAATGCAGCTAGGAACAATGTACACATCCCCCCCTTCCCCTTTTGATGATCCCTTGTTTAAGTCTATGTATTAGGACTTGGATGTGTTTTGAGAAGTACAGTCAGGCCCGAAATGCAGCAAAGAATGCTGAGAAGCAGATGCCCTGGTACCCCATTGAAAATACCATGATACTGTTAGATTATTTACAAGGTATACTGGCCTCAGAGGTGACCCAGCAAGTCAGCCCTGCTGGCAAAACACTTAGCAAATGCTTAAATCCCAAAGCACTTTGGCAGTGTAGAAACACATTTTCAGGGCAGCAACTGGAATCTGAAGGAATCTGCTTCCACTGCCTCCCTCTGGTTGACTCTGATACTTTCTTCAGCTGGCACCTATTAAATGGAGCACAGGTTTTTTTTAATTAAGAAATGGTGACTGTTACCATCTATTTCCCAAGCTTCTGCAGTTGAGGGAGACCCTAGCTGCACAGAACTGGAAGAGAAATGCAGGAGCCATCTGGACAATTTGAGGCAAACCTCCCTACTACTGGCTCACAAACTGAAGGTACGGTAAGCAACCTATGCAACAAGCAAAGAGCAATTCAAGTTCTGCTGTCCCAGGTAAAAAGGTGCTAGCTATCCCTGGATTCAGGTGTGTTTAGGCTATAATCAGTTGGCCTCAGCTGACTCTGCATCAGGTTTATAAACCCCACGTAGCTGTAAAGGAGAGGTGCTAGCCTTAGTTTGTTATTTGGAGATCCTGGTCTAGCACTGGTGGGCAAGAACGCATCACTCTGCTGCAGCCAAAGCAAGCATTTGTACTGCCTTCCAAAGGCAGCAGGATGTGATGGGAGTTGGCTGCACGATACCTATGCTGCCTTCTCTTGAGTTTGCTGCTCTTTGTCCCCCAGCTCTGAGGAATCATGCAACTTGGTTAAAAATATCATTTATAGCGTGTTCTTTCCTAATGCAGGTCCATCAGCTCCAGCAGAAACAGCAGCTTACAGTGCTGAGGGAGAAAGCAAAGCTAGAGGTTCAAGAAAGCCAGAGGTTTTTGCGTGACCTGCTTCAGCACAACTCAGAGGTAAGTTACCATTTCAGATCCTGTGTTACCGCTTCTGGATTCAGCAAAATGTTCCTCCAGTCCCTGCTTTTTTTTTTCCTCACTTAGAGTCCTTTAATCAAAAGGGGTTTTTAACTGATAAAAACTGATCAGGGTAACTTTTTGGAAGTGCCCAGGTCTCTCAGGTAACGGAGTCCCTTAGGCTGTCATTTGGACTGTTGATCTGAAATCACTTAGGTACTGCAGCTTTTGGTGTCTATGGCTGGGTTTGCTGCAAAATCAAGAGAAGGGATTTTAAGTTCTCAAGAGATAATTACTGTGATACTTGCTCAGACATGAGAGCCTAGTGAGATGCTAATCTTGACCAAAAAATATCCTTTAAAAAAAAAAAAATTTAGCATGCTGTTTATTTGTTGTTTACCTTCCAGCCTCAGAGTCTGAAGTCAGCTAGGAACTGATGGACTTCTGTGTCTATTTGTTAGAATAAGAATTTAGCCCCATATGCATAAACACGAGCTCAGACCTCATGTGCAATTCCAAGCTCTCGTTACATCATTGAGAGTATCTGCTTTGGAGGATACTTTAGCTTGATTAATGTCTCTCAATATGTTTGAACAGTTCAGACAGAATTGATCTTTGTATGTTTGGGTTTGTTTTGTTTTTTTTTTTTAAAGCCCTTAGGATGAACACAGTACCCTGACTCCCATGAAAGCATCTCTAAATACACAACACTTTGTGAGCTGTAATACTACCTTACTTCCATATGCCCGCACAGCTTTGTCACTGTGAGTAGTATCCAGCTCATTAGTTAATCCAACTCTTTAGGAATTATTGCTATATGCAAAGCATTATCTACAATGAAGGGCTTTCCCAAGAGGATGAGGGAAGAAGGCTTAGAAGTTCTGCCTTTCAAATGGATCACTCAGGTCTACAGACAATTTCTGTGTTTGCAGGAGTGTAGTAGCTCCAAAGGCAGTTATTCTTCTGTGCCAAGACTGGACCACACAGAGCAAATGTGGAGAGGATACCAATCGGAAGGTGACAACGCAGCTGGCAGGTACAGGAGGAAGTATACATCGAGGCACTCCGATGGTTTAGCCAGTGGTTTGGCTATATGACTGACTTGGGGTTCTAGAGCATTTGCACTATGGTGTTTCTAAAATGGATGTTCATTTCAAGTCACTTAAGAACACCTTACATGGCCATCGCGTTGTCTTTAAGACTATGGCCTAACCGCTTTATTCATTCAGATCTCTGCTGTGAAGTATCCATCTTTGCAATACAGTCTTTCTACTCCGATTTATGCACAAACCACAGTATAAACACCTTTCCAATGTCATGGGAGATTTTGCATTTTTTTAAAAGGTAGAAGCCCCTTTGAAACTTGTGGGGAAAATAGAATTTTCCTTATTTTGCTTTACCATCATATACCTTGGTATGAATGAGAATATTTGGGGTGCATGTTTTTATGTTCATTTAAATTGAATGAGAGAATTCTCAATTGATTGAGAATTTCTTCTAGAGTCTTACAGATACAATTACCAGAAAGGCACCTTTGCACAGATAAAACTTCCAATATTGCATAAAAATGAGCACCATGCTAGTTTGAAAAAGATTCAGCCTCCACAGAGGACTTTGCTAGGAATTGAAATAGTATCTCTGACTGCAGTAAGAAAATATTTAATTTCTTTCTTACCTTCAGTAATCAAGAGATGCGTTCACTGAAACAATCTGCATTGAAGACAGAAAGAGATCACAGTCCAGTGGATCCCAAAATAGCGGGAGAAAGAAAACCTCTGGGAGGAAGGGGTTCATATCGCTCAGTGCTTCAAGAAGGTGAACACTAAGTTAAAGGACTTAGTGGTATTGGGCAAACAACAACACTTTGAAAATTTTGACCTCAATACTTACATTCATTGTGTATATTTAAACCATAGTGGTCTCCCTTTGTACGTCTGCCTCTTCTACAGAAAATAATTTTGGGAATTGAGAGTTATTTACACTATTTATAGGCCCCTTTTTTCTTTTTACCTGTTTACCATGATTTCACTTGGAAGTGAGGTTAGTGTTCATAACCCGTTCCTGTAAGTGAACGGCTGTGGGGTGATTCTCTTCAAGCTCCTGCTGAGGGTGGCGCACAGGTCTGGCTGCCGAGTCTTTGCAAAGGCACCTTGAATTCAGGAATGGGTGCTAACTCATGTATGATGGGAACTGTTTCTGGGGTCTCTTTTTGTCCTTCTGTTACAGAGAAATATTTTACTTACAGTGACTTTAAATCTTCTCCTTAGAATCCCTGCTGGCAGAGCAAGGGGAGCCGCTGCATGACCATCAAACCTTGAATCTGTTGCCACCTCTGGTGAATCTGCCCCATGGGGAGACCTGTGCGGGGGATGACTCTGAAGAAAGCAGCGAACAGGCCAGCTCCGACAGCCAGGTAACACCAGCTCTCGTACTAGTGTGTGGAGTGTTTGTTTTCTTTGGGGTTTTTTTGGCTTTTAGTCCCATGTCAAACTTGTCACCCACACGACACTTCTCCAATAAACATGATGCTCTGCTCTGTCCCCAGTGGAGCAGAGTCGGCCGGCACTACGGAGGCTCCAGCACCTTCTGCCACTTCAGCTTGGCCATGGTGGAGCAGTGTCTGAGGGGAGAAGAGCTGCGAGCTCGACACCAGGCTGCCCTCCTCAAGCTCCGCAAAAAAGCTCTCCGGGAAAAAGCTGGGGCTGAGCTGGCCTGGCTGGGCCACCAGAAACGGTGAGGGGGAGATGTGTGGGCAGGACACCACAGGCCTGCCCTGGTGGGGACAGGTCCTTCGGAGGTGCTGCTGCCTGCTCAAAGGAAGAAAAACTGTCCCGGCTCAGGGGAAGAGAGCAAATATAAAATACTTCTCTTACAGAGTAAGTGGAGGTAAAGCAGAAGGAGAGGAGTCTGCACAGTTTTATTGTCTCCAGAGCATGGTTGAGCTCCCTACTGCAGCCTCCTTCAGGTGTGGTGTGAGCCCCTCCTCAGCGCTGACTGGGCTGAGGTGCTGTCAGGGATGGTGTGACCCCTGCCTTGTGCAAGGCGTCCCTCAGCGCTGACTGGGCTGAGGCACCATTGGGGATGGTTTGACCCCTGCCTTGTGCAAGGCGTCCCTCAGCGCTGTGTGTGGTGTGGTGTGCTGTTGGGGATGGTGTGAGCCCCCTTGTGCAAGGCGTCCCTCGGTGCTGACTGGGCTGAGGTGCCGTTGGGGATGGTGTGACCCTCGCCTTGTGCGAGGTGTCCCTCAGCGCTGACTGGGCTGAGGCACCGTGAGGTACAGTTTGAGCCCCCACCCCCTGTGCATGGCATCCCTCACCAGTCGGTACTGTGTACCGGGTGCTCAGGGAAGTCTGGCTGCCTTGGGAGAGGCCCAGGCATGAGATGTCCTCCGAGTCTAGCAGAACTTTCTGCAGAGCCTTCTGTAGCTACTGCTGCTTCTACAGCTGCTTTGAGAGGAGCTTTGATCCTATCCCTGGCGTTATTGTCTGAAGAGCATTAAATTCATGACACTTAATTATCTGATAATGATCCCCATCTTTCTCTGGTCTCCAGCTGTCTGGAAAACCTGCAAGATAGTAAGGGAGCCTCTGCCATGGCTGCAAAGCAGCAGAAAATCCTAATGGAGCTGAAACAGGAGCAGGTAATGCTGCAGCAAGAGGAGCTGGATTTCATCTTAAAAACAGTGGGAGGATGCAACACAGGGAGGTGCCTGGAGCTACTGAAGCAAGTGGGGTTTGCTTTTTAAAAAAAAAAAGCCACTGATGTAATTTCACATGCATTATTCTGCTTTGCTTCCAACATTCAGCAAGGTATTTTTTTTGTGCCAAAGTCAGCAGTCTGTAAATCTTGGAGAAAAGAAAACACCTTTTCTTTTTTTTTTGTGCTAATCCACTGTTATTGTGGATTTTTCTATTTGTGCCACAACAAACAGGTCATATAATGTAGGTTTCCACTGATATATGCAGATTTATGCTTCTGATGTTGAAATATATTAAATTAATCTGACAGCTAATTTTATAGTCTCAATTCTCCTGCTACTGAGAGGAGTGCTGGGCTCATAATTACACTTGGTAATCAGAAAATTTCTGTCCTACTCGCTATGTAGTAAAAGCCTCTCCTTTGCTTCATGGAATTCCTGTGCAAACCACAAGCATCCTGTAGTTTTGAATGACCTGAAGATAATTCATTTCCAAAGGTCTCACCTCTCAGAGATGCCCTATCTCCCAGGCAGTGAAATATCCTCTAACCTGTCATTAGTTTTCACAGGTAAACCCCAGTCAGCATTAGTGAAAAAGAAAACTACAAAAAATTTTTACAAAAAAAGAACAAAACCTGCATATTGAATTTTCAGGATGTTTTGTGAATAGTAGTGCCTTATGTTAAGAAATACTATACATATTTTAAAGTAGGTCTCTTTTCTCTTTTATCTTAGCTCTCTTACACTCCTTTCCTTTTCTGCTTTGCGTAGGCAGAAATCCAGCACCTGCAAAACATCTACAGGGCAGCCCATCAAGAAAGAAAGCTGTTATTAAAGCAGCAAAGAGAAATCTTAAGGATGCGGTATTCAACATCACAACTTCAGGAGAAGCTGCATAATTTGGCTGGGAAGCAAGAGGTTATTAAGTCACAGTCACTAGATGTCTCGGTGGGTTTTTTTGAGTGGATAATAACTGAAGCCAGAGCTCACACTACAGCTAAGGAACCCAAGGTGAAACCTTATGTGTTACCATTTCCTTTTAGCTTACAAGGAGCCCAGCAACTGAAAAAGCAATAAAGCTGAAGACAATGAGACTTACTTCTAGCCCGAAGTTATACTCCTCTTCAGCAAAGTCTACAGACCACCCAGAAAGGCCTGATGTGTCAGGGAATAGAGAGAGTTACGTCCAGCTAAAGACTAAACAAAGCAAGAAATATGAGGGGTAAGTAAAACCCTTTCCGCAGCGATAGCTGAAGAACCAATCCAGTGGAGAAGATGGAAGCAGTTACGTCTTAGATAATTGTGTGAGCTTTAAATGCTCCCAAGAGGGAGATTTATAATGATAAGTTTCAAAAACCTCTGAGTTAAAGCAGTTGAGGCATCAAGATCGCTGCTTATCATTCTGACCAATATTGCCTCGCTCTTGTATTTGTGTGTCCTCCGTATGTCCAGCCTACCATCTCATGTCCAAAACGGTAGGTTCCTCGGGGCAGGGACCAGCTTATTGCAAGGTATGTGAACAGCGTCAAGTAAATTAAGGTGTCTGGATCCATAGCTGGAGATCCTTTCCATACTACTTACTAAATTCTTCAGGTAGAATACATTCATCACTTCAATATATCAATAAGAAACAGTGTGTTTATTTCAGATTTTTCCATTCTTTAAAAAGAACTACCCTTCTGTGCAGAGGGAAAGTGTTTTAAGTGAAATCTTGAATTTTACCAGAAAGTTGAGTTGGTATTTACACCAACTGTACTGTTTATCAGGGACTGCTTCTGATCTTAAAAAAAAAAGACAAATAAAAATACTCCTGGTGGTTACAGGGAGTTTACATTATGATCTCAGTACTTCTGTATGTCACAAATAATAACTTCTTCAATAGAACAAGCTAAATCTGAGCCTTAATCCTGAAATTTAGAGAGTCTGTGTATACATATATATCTGTCTGTGTCTATATACTTGTATAGGTAATCATGTAGTACTGTGATTTGGATTTATCAGCAGAAGTTGGACAAGTATGTTTCATGCTGCAAAAAGCCATGTTGGTCTGCCATCATAAGCTTATTGCACACGGAAGAGGCTGCATTGGGTAATAACTTAATCCTGTGTGCAAAAGGTGGAGTAATATTTGTTCCCAAGGCAGTTGTGCTTTCATTAGAATGGCTCCATGCTCTTGCATTAAGTCTCACAATCCTCTGTGCTTTAAGAAAGCCAATCCTTGCAGGCTTTCTATATTAATTCTAAACTCTGCATTTTTGTGCAAGCAAGTAAACATATTTCACTATGATCTGCACTATAAAATGTTAAGCAGTGTTATCTAAGTCTGTGGGACTGCGGCCTGTCATTGCAATGTTAGGAACAAATGTAGCTTTGACATCAGGCCTAGGCAAGTTGATTTACATAGCATTAATAACCAGGACATTTTTAAATGATGCCACACAACTGCTAATGATAATTCACATTTTCATGATGGCTTTTCACTACAAACTCAAAACACTTTGCAACTATATATTAATTAAACTTCAAAACACCCATATGGAATGAGTAGAAATGTATTGATTTAATTGGTGAAATTCACTCCTTTGTCATCCTCTGGCTCTAAGCCTGTGTATCACTTAACCCCTCAGAGCAGGTTTGTCTTTCACGTAGGATTTAACCACAGAAGGCTTTTGTACTACACGGGGCTTAATTTTATGCTTAAACTGAAGTGTAGAGGTGTCATGTAAAATGCCCACAGCCAGAGGTAATTCAGGAGTTGAGACTGTTCTGAGAAAGCACTGGCCTCCTCTTCCCCAGGCACTGCATCCCCAGCGTCCCCGTTTGCTCCCCGCTGAGCCGGCGGAGCTGAGCAGTGCAGACGAGGGCCCAGCAGTACCCACGCTGCTCAGAACAGCAGTCTTCCAAAGCAGGTTCAGATGAACAAAAATCTAGTTTGCTTCAGAAAAACAAATGCGGTTAAAGACAAATATATATCTATATGAATTAAAAAAACCAAAACAAAAACCTTTCATTCAGTGTTAGCCAGACCTTTGGCAGACTGGTGAGTCAGGCTTGTGCATTTACTTAAGTCCCCACAGGGAAAGGCTTTCAAATAAATCCCTGCATGGAACTGATCTATAATTCATGGCGTTATTGATTACAAGTCACAGAAATCTTTAAAAGGTTTCTTGGCTGTGCTTTCACTTCTCATTACTGACAAGCCTGCTCATAGGAGAACAGTGAATATTAGTGTCAGTCTAGGGCAGACAGGGCCTGGTGGAACCCACAATGCACCCAAACTCTGGCTGCTGTGTGATTGTGTATAGATCTCTTCCCTATGTAAGAGTGCAGAGTGGTAATTATGCTATCTGTCCACCAGTGCAAGGTATGTTCATATTTTATCCTGATCAGGAAGATGGCTAATAAGCAGGGCTGTAAGGGGATGGAAAGGATTGGGAAATACTTTTAAAAATGAAAACAAACAAATAATAAATAGATTACCAACATGCAAAAAAAGCTGCTGGTTTGGGGTTTTATTAATAGATATTTAATATTAGAAACAAGGAATATAGAAACTTGTAATTGTTATAAATGGACAAGCTTTTAGCTGAGAATTGGGAATGTATCTTCTGAATCGGGGTACTTATTTTGAAGTCTTTAAACATTAGCCATGTTGAATACGCTATAGGCCTCCTTTTTTTCACATTAAAAAAAAAGAATAGGGATTTAGCTTCTAGACACTGTCATATTGTTAATTTTAATCTATTCAAGAATATATTTAACTTTTTAAACTGTTATCTTAATAAAAAAAACCCAAACCAACAACCCCCCCCATGTAGCTCACTGTTTTTTCTGAACAGAGTAACTTACTCAACTGTATAGTCTAAACTCGTACCACTAATGGAAAAGTCTGAGTATGAATTGTGTTGCTTTGTGCTTTTGCAGTAAGGAGACTGTTTAGAAAGTTCAAAGTCACCATGACAATCAGTATCTGATGTCCCAAATGTCCATAAAGTTGCGATGCTATATTTAAAGTGGAAAACTTAATGAGATCTGTTGGAATCTGACACAGTATCACTGATTGGAAGTGGAGGAGGCATACAGGTTCAGAGTTTGACCCTGGTTTTGCCTTTTCAGCGCTGATGATTTCTTCAGTCTCCTCCTATTGTCTATGAAGATCAGAAACCTGACTATATAAAATACAGTGTCAAGTGAGAGGGAGGGGAATGGAGGAATAAATACACTATTCAGAGTGTTCCTGGCTTTGCTAATTTGCCGGTTTATAAACATATGTGCATGTGAGCACTCTACAGGTGCTATCAAGCACCACCAGAAGCATTTAATTCATACCTTTATTGACTTCATATGGATTTGTCATGATTAACTTGGGAACATGAAAACAACTCCCAGTCATTAATTCCTTGTCTGTTTACAGCTTTTCTATTGAGAACAAGGAAACCCTGGTACAATACCAGAAACAGGCAGAGGAGTCCCCAGGTTTGGAGCAGTCCCTTGGTGTGCAAGGTCCTGATGCGTCTGGAACTGCGGCCAAGAAAGTGTGTAGTGCTACCAGCCAAACCACAGGCTCTGTCTTTATGATTAAAGATTGCATAAACACAGGTACCCACTAAAGAAGACTTCTGTAGCAAACCATATCTGTGACCACTTAGTCAAACTGAATGACTTAGAGCAAAAGTTGAAGTCTCAGCTGTTCTTTGGAGCAGTTCAAATGATCTTTCAGAAGAGGACTGTCGAGCTAATTGGCCCATGAGAGAGAACTTGTGATGTTGATCAGTTCCTTGGTTACCTCCAGCATGGGTTTTGGTACCAGGATCTGTTCAGGATTAGCAAGAAGAAGGTGTAACAAAGGTGTAGGTTGTTTTGTTGAGGTAGCAGCTATGCACAGATGAAGAAAAAGTGTAGAAATTACTGAAAGTGTGCTTTACAGTTGCTACCATGTAACT